ACACAGCTCATTAAAAGGACCTTTAAGGCCTTAGAAATGTGGGAATTAGTTGGACAAGAGATTTGCCCTCAGGAAAGTATAATACAGTAGCCAATTCAACAGGCGTATGTGTACACAAGGGCACAGGTATGTATGCACACGTGTGCATGTACACACACACACACACACACACACACACACACACACACACACAACTGTATTACTCGATAACAAAGTCACCGTCAGAACTCTGCTACTTAACCTCAGAAGCCAAATGTGTTCTGGCACGGTTAGAATAAGTCTCCAGCCCGGTTAGAATAAGTCTCCAGCCCAGTTAGAATAAGTCTCCAGCCCAACTTCTGCTACTTGCTTTCCCAAACTCAGGACCCGCAGACAATCAGTTCCTCGACTCTGTCCAGTCTCCAAACTTGGCACAGAGTGAGGTGACTAGCGGGATGGTTCTTGCTGTATAAACCTGGTGCAAACTGTCAGGAGCAGTGTCAAATGCCAAGCTTGGAGGAGGGTGCCATGCCTTCCAACAGTACACGATTTGATGGATAATGTATTTGAGTTGTGCCTTGAGTAGAATGTGGTAGAATATTTTATCATCTCCCACCTTGGTGTAACCAGACAATCCTTGTATTTGTCCTGTGTTCTTCCTCCCCTGAGTTCATCTGCACCTTGCACCACTCTCTCAAGTCTCCTGCTTCTGCCCATGACAACACAGTCTCAGCAAAAGGCCCTGCTTTTTACTTGATGGAAGAAAAAAATGAACAAAAACAAAACAGCAAAACAAACAAACAAACAAACAAACAAAACAAAACAAGGATACAGTTGTGAGTGGTCCAATTCTCCTGTCTTTACCTCCCTAGTACAAACCCTAACCTTGCTACATTTCATCCATCTTTAACTCATTCATATCTCTCTCAAAATAAATTGTACTAGCACCCTCCAGGAAAACATATCCAAAAGGAAATACAAAAATAGATAGATATATATTTATCGTGTGAGTTGGCCTGTGCGATTATGGAGAGCAAGAAACCCCATGACCAGCTGCCTACAGACTGGGAAACAGCTGTAATTCAGATAGACGTGGAGACCTAAGAACTGGGGGACTATTGGAATACATTCTGGAGTTCCAGAACCCAGGAACCAAAAGCACGAATATCTGAGAGCAGAAGGGAATCCAGGCTCCCGGAGAAAGCAGTCACCCTTCTTCTG